AGCCTATTTTGGCTATAGACCATAATCAGAACTCATTTAATGCAACCTTACAATTTATGTAATAATCCAAACTGCAATATTTCAAGTTTTAATTAAGACAATTAAAAAGAAAAGGCAGATTATGCTGAAAAGTTTCTATTTATCATTACGAATAATAATAAGACCACAACCGGTTATACAGCCTACCTAGAAATAGTTGTGATAATTATTCAGAATATTCGTTTAGCTCTGAAGACAAGTTTTTTTTTTTTTTTTTTTTTTTTTGGAGAAACTTTTAAATTCTTTTCATGAAGTAATAAACAGCTCTACTTTTAATTAACAAAATTAAAATTTTTAAATATCAAGTTGAAATAAATAATTATAAACTAAAACTACTTTTTAGTTTTAAAATAAATTTAAATTTTATGACAATACTCTAAGCATAAATGTATATATGTATCTTCCTATTATAAGAAGATTGACTTGAAAAAAAAATTGAATACAATAATCATGTAAACATTTTTAATTCAAGTTACATGAGTGACTTATGACAACGAATAACATAACTTATAACATTAAACATTAAAAAAATAAAAATGTTATTATCATCTAAATATTAAAATACATGATGAATCTTTTGAAACTAAAGATATGTAAATACCTATCTCATTAATTTATATTCATGAGAATATATGCATACATACTATATATATTAAATTTTCTAACAGATTTGTAAAGTAAAAAAAGATATATTATAATAGTAACATTAATTCAAAGTATTGATTTATTAAATATTTATTTTTTCATACATAATAAAAAAAGATTGTAAAATATTTTTCAATGGAAATCTAATTTTGGTAGAAAAATTTTAATCTAATGTTTAAACATAACTATAATAAAATTATACCACAAAATATTCATAATTGTCGAAATATCGCTATATTTTCTCATTTTTGTTTCATAATTAGTATTTATATTCAATGTTAAAATATGGCAAATATTAATACCTTAGATGTCGCTGTTATATAGACGTGTTATATTGGGGTTATGTAAGTATATAGTAAACTATAAATTGTTACAATTTAAGACGAAAGAAATTATTCTTAGTTTATACGCAGTTGTAATTGATAAGTGTATATATTGCAGGAAGTGATTGCATTGAGTAATATTATTTTATAAAATTTCAATATGGCTCTTCCAAAAATTGTACAACCAGGTAAGAACTATTTTTTTTCTAGTATATTTTAAATGATTTATTTCTTAAAAGTATATATCATAACCTGTGAAATTATTATTAGATTGCGGATCTTTGTGCACATTAAATATGTCAAAAGTATATACTTTTTGCAGGAAAAATATATAATTATCCTTGATAATAAGTATGTATTACATTAAGTGTTAGATGCAATATTAAGTATTAACAAATATTTTACAATTATTCTAGAGTATTATAGTGTATTATTTTATTACATTGCAATTTGCATCACAATATATTGTTAATATTTTTTCTATGTTTAAAGTTGTTAGTTGTTTGATGTGATATAAGGTGATGTTTATGTGTCAGAATTAATCTGTATGCAGTTAACTTTCTTTTTATGTTTGAGTATCTCTCTGTTGATAAATTTCCATGTTTTTCACATTCTGTATACTTTTTTATATTTTTTTTATAATATTCAGTTAGCACAATAAAGTCATGAAAACACTAATTGTGCACATCTATCATCAATATAGCAAAGGTGACAAACTTTATTTGTAAATGAAATTAATTTAAAGTAAGAGATATTTCATATAATTACCACATCATTCAAAAAATGCAAAATAAAAAATGTTTTTCAAATTTTCTAATGATAGAATTTCTGCTCTACTATTTTACATGCATCCTATAAAAATATGTATTTGCACAAACATCTGCAGTCTAATTATTATATTACTTTAAGTAAATATCTGATTTTATTTAAATATCATTTTTACAGGTTTAAAATTATTTGAAATTTGCCCAAAAGTTTTAACTGTACCTTCACGAAGAACTAAATATTACTCTATTACCACTACATCGAAAGACTCATTTACTGAACGCTCATTACAAAAAGCGTTCTTCTTTGAGATAATTCGTGCTGGTGGAGTTGCATTATCTCATTTCTTCAGTGAACCTGCAACAATAAATTATCCTTTTGAAAAAGGCCCATTAAGTCCAAGGTTTAGAGGTGAACATGCATTAAGAAGGTATTGGAATAAAGTTATTTATATTGACATTATTAATATATTTTATGTATCGTTTCATTTTTAACATATAAAATTGAAATTTTTCAATTCTATTAATAGAATATTTTCCAAATAAAAGCAATAAACTATTAATCATTTATTAAAATTAATAAATTAAGCATTAATATACTAATACTCTATTATATGAAATGCATTTTATTTGTTTTATTATATAATTTTTCATATGGTAAATATATGATTATTTATGAAAGCAAAATTTTAAATAAAAATAGTATATATATTATAGGAAAATTTAAGTTTATTGTCTAGTTATATCATAAACTATTTGTTTGTGTTTGTTTTATCTGGTTTCGATAAAATATTTCAGAAAAAAGAAATAGAATATAGAAAAAAAATGTCAAGACAAAAATTGTTTGCTATCAAGGGGGACATAAAGTGGTATAAATGGAAAACTATATTTTTTTATACATAATGAGAAAGTACACATTATGTCTCTCCCTTCATACCTAACAATTTTTATCTTAAAATTTTCTTCCTGTGTTATGTCATTTCCGAAGTATTCCATTGAGTTCAGATAAAACAGACACCCTGTATATAGTTTTTTAATGTATTATTGAAATATTCCTATGAGCAGAAAATCTAACGAGAAAAAGGATTTTGTGCACTACCAGTAGCATTAATTGTGCTTTAGACAATGAGAAAATGACTAAAAACATTATTTGATTCGAAGCTATTATAACACCTTGTTTTAGCTCTATTCTTAGAATAAGGATAGATGTGGTAAATAGTATATAGTAGTAAGATATACTACTGTATAGGGCTCAAAAGAGGTCAATTGAGATGGCCATAGATAAGAGAGTCTCCTTTTAATATGTATTATTCATTTTCTTTTTCACATATTGCTTACATGTTTCAAGTTAGTAGATGTGAATATCTGGCTAATTAAGCTAATTCTTGTGTACCCATTTTTATGTGTGTATGTGATTAGGTCAACCTACAAATCAGTTGCCAATCACAACTGACTAACTTCTTCTGAGTTTTCTACTGTACATATCTAAAACCATGTAAAATTCAGTAACATTATAAGGTTTGCCTTTATTAATTCATTACATAGATATATATTATTTATTTGACCTATGCAACTTAATTATTTAAAAACACGTTTTGCAACTTTTTTTGCTTATATTTCATTTTATATTAGTTTATGATAATTTTTTACAAATATATCTTTATAAAATAATATTAATATTGGTTATTATTACTTAATTTATTCATTGAATAATGCTTTGCCAAGCTAACCTGACAATGAGTACTATACAAAAAGATGATTGAGAAAGATAATAAAGATTAAAAGATATTAATATACTTGTATTATAGTAGATGTAGAAAATAGTTGGATAACCGGTTTTACCCTAGATAAGGTAATTCATAAAACATTACATATTTTTATCTTAATGTTAAATAAAAGATAAGGGGATTTGCTAAAATACTGTTTAAGGTCTATAAAATACTGGTTACTTAAATATTTAGTATTTAAATAATGGCTCCTTAAATACATGATTTTTTTCTACATTCCTCTAGTCTTAAATGTATTACTTTATAACTTAGTAAATTATTAAAATATTTGTTCAGTTATTTTGTATTATATTAAATTATTCATTTAATTTTGTATTACATTAAATTATTAACAAATAAAAGTATGAATAATTGTTATAAAATTATATTTTATTATTTAACAAATTTTTAACAAAATACACAATTCTTTTTTTTTATTAAAGTTCAAGAAATCTTCTAGTTAATTTTTTGTATAAGTTTAGAACAAAAAATTCAATAATAAATATTGATAGATCAAAATGTCACATTGAGCGAAAAACAAAGTTTAATAAACGCTATCATATAGATTGTTATTGTAAAAAAGGAAAAGCCTAATATAAAATAGTTGTAATCAATTTAAATTGTAAAAGGAACAAATATGAATTCTTTATTTCGGTGATAAATAAAAAATTGTGAGGAAGATAGAAAAAAGTTACGATATTTTTTTGCAGTATTGATAATTCAGACATTTATGATAATGCCTGAGTTTACATCGCACTATTTTTTCATCTCCAATTTTTCTTTATATTACAATTAAATAATATAACAAATACCAAAAATATTTATTCTATTTCTGTATAATATAATGTTATTTTTAGAAATTGAATATTCATTGTATATATGCTCTTGACAAAAAATGATAATCCTGTCATACATTTGTTATCATTGTAGACGGATATAATTATTATCATTGCTATACATCTTGAATGGTCTTTTTATATTATTATAATTCTATGTTTACATATCTTTTTACTTATCCATTGTTTTGATTTGTAATTTGGTATTTGTAATTACTTTTGAATGAATCTATAATTTGATTTTCAAATGCAGTAGTTTTCTTAAATATATAAGGGCTGGTAGAAGTATTTTAAATCACTTTGCCGAGAAACAATGGGAAAGTTGTCAAAAATGAGTTGAAATATGTGAAAATGAGACTGATCGAACATATTGGAGCGTCATATTTCGTCGTCGTCCTCTTCGGTGTTGAGTTAGTAATTAGTTACATGGACTGTTATATAGAAAATGTTTAGGGACAATATCGCGAATCTAAAAATAATGCATCAGTTCTAAATGAACTGTTGGAAGCCGGTACGTGCAATCAATTTAAAGCGCATGATGTTTGCCTTGTGGATCTTGATTTTTGAGTCTCTGGAGGAAGTCACAAGAAAAGAATTCATTACTAAAATGCCATCATTTGCAAATGGACTTTGGAAACCACTGACTGTTGAACAAGCCAATCAATCATGACTTATTACAAAAATTTGGTTTATGATCGAAGTAATTAATGGACGTATAAAAAGCTGTTTTATAAATATATTCAAAATATTACATTAGCCATGATTTCAAAATAGCTTGCTTCATTCTAAACGCAATGTTTCATCCAATACATACCTTTGCCCTTGATCACCTTGATCATTCCTCGAATAAGATTAATTCTTTGGGACAACTGGTACATATAGAAAACATGAACATAAAGCGAGAAGATTTCCAACACATAGGAATCGTACAATTACAATCTTACCAACATTAAGTTACGAAGATCTATGCTTACATAAGACGGGGATTTTGATTTCCAAATTGCAGCACCATTACATCGCATAGATTATGAAACGATTGCAACACTGTAGAATCAAATAACAGTATTTTACTAAAAACAAAACTGCGTTCGAATAAATTAAAATATTTTGTATATATATTAATAGATAAAAGTAAGACTGAAAGCTGTTCTTGCACACACACGCGTTGTTGGATATCGTTCCCATGTAGCAATACTTACATGGTATTTCGGCTTTGCTTGATTCAGACCTTCGATTCATTTGTCAGCTAAAATCCTCGCTAATTATTTTGAAGATGGTTCAGTATCCAAAAAGGAAGACGACGAAATATGACGCTCGAGTATGTTCGATCAGTTTCATTTTTACATATTTCGACTTATTTTTGACAACTCTCCTATCGTTTCTCGGCAAAGTGATACAGGAATTTTTTGTTCCTTAAAAGATGCTCTTAAAGGTCATGAAGGAATTTTTCATTTTCAAGCGATGCCAAAAATAGCCTTTTTTTTAACATCCTCTTTTAATTTTTGATTTTCTTATAACGACCATTGTATATCAGTGACACGGGCTATTGCTTTTCTATCACGTGCTTTGATGAATTTGTGGCAACGTTTCCTTTGAAATTTCTTTTAATTCATTAAGATGAAAACCCTCTTTGAGCATTTGTTCATTCCATCTAGACAGTTGTTACAGGTTTCTAGCATTCCTAAATCTCTTCACTGTTTGAAACAACAACGTTTTCTCTTTCAAATTTTCTGCTAATCTATCGTATTTTCTTTGTATTTAACATTTATTTTTTTTCTCTCCTTCTTGTTAGCTATCACCTATGTCAGTCTAGTTTCCAAATTCTTCTTGGGGTGTTGTCACTTCCAATATTAGAGAAGAAAACATATATTTCTGGATTATCTATTTGTTTATATGATTATAATACCAAGTCCTACTCTGTTACAATTTCCACATATTCTTCGATTTTACATCTGTTAATTAAACGAATAACAGTGTTTGCAAACTCGATTTTCTTCACATCAGCTGAAGTTTGACTCTACTCTACAATTGTGCGAAGTTTCATCAAAATCGACGATTAACACATCGATATCTTCCCTCGTTAGTCTACAATTCGATTTACCTAAATGTTTATTATGATTTCGAATTTCAAGTAGAAACTGCTTCTACTTTAAAACACAGTTGAATTTATGCTACAACGTAAAATATTTTATTTGTATAATGTTGAAGAGAAGTGAATGAATTATAATTTTTTCGATACGAGTGGATATAAAATTAGTCTCTTGCATTAATTTTGTGTTGTGCAACAATATCATTCTAAGCAGCTGATTTTTTTTTTATTAAATAAAATGTTTAATTTTGAATGCTGTATCATTCTATTGTGAAAAAAAATTCAGAGAAAAGATTATAATCGAAGCGTGAAAAGACAATGAAACTTTGATTAAAAAATGACTCCATGTAGAACTCATTATGGTCTATATGAACATAAACTTTCATTAAAATCAAAACTTTCTGGTTAGATAAATTTTCTTGTAATATATTGTGCTAATACTTTCTTACTCACTACATGAATATTCACGTAAAAAGTATCTCTCAAAGGCTTGTAGAGTATCAATACAACGTCTTGAACGTGATTTTATGCATTATATCCGAGTAACATTTCTGATTTAACTTAGTTGACTGTCTAAGGATTACCTGTCTAGAATATGAGTATACAGTTTCAAATTAACTTCTCTGGATTAACTTTATCGAATGCTACAGAACTCTAAATTTCAGTTTCATTTATCCTTAGAAATTTCATGATTTTAGTTGTGAAATTGAGAATGTTTCACACTAATGACTAATAACGGTATTCATGCGTGTAACACGAGTTAACTCTTTTTTGGAAATATGTTAGACACACTACGCGTGTGGAGTATGTGTATAAAAATCTTAATAATCGGTACCGTTAAGACTCTGTTTTAGGATTTCAACGATTAATAAATGATAGCATATGTTTTGGTATTTCAATTGAGAAATGGTATTTCACTTATAAATAGGAGACACGTAAATATTAGTTATTATCTGAAATATTTAAAATTTCTTTCTGTGCTCTCAATTATACAACTTTGTTGTATTTTCTACTTGCACGTATCACGAGGTAAATTAAAGACCTTAATAAAACTTTTACCCGTGCCACTAATAAATTAAAAACGAAAAAAGAAGAACTGTAATGTGAATATGAATTTCTTATACGATATATTGTACAAGATACATTGACATTGCACGAAAGATTCCTTTGTATGGTCTCTACTGTTGTTTCAAGTACATATCTACTCGTATTTCTGTCAATTCGCTTGTTTCGACAATTGAACCATGTTCACTTTGACGCTTGACCAATTTTACGATCTCGCTATATCATGGCCCATACTATGCATAACACAATGCACGGATGTGTACCTCATCTCGTATAAGTAGGAATACATGTATAAGGTAATGAGAATATGCATGCAGTGTTATGTATGTAATGGTCTAGAATAGCGTAAAATGATCATAAACTGAAGTGGTATTTGACTTCGAGTTAAAGTTAAAGATTTAACGAAATAAAAATGAAAGAATAACGAATAACAGATAAAGTAGTTGTAGAGAAAATAAAACACGATACTTGGGTAACCAGTTTCTATACAAATTTAACGTATAAAAATTCGCAAGACGATTATGTAGGGATTATTTTAATTTATATTCCACGTATTAGTGGGATCAGGTTAGGGAAATGAAAGTGAAACAAGCAAGAGCTAGTTGTAATCAGACTATAATTGTTATACCATAAAAAATCTAAGCTATCACACGTTTGCACTCTACATTCGTTCTTTTCAACTGTCTGTTCTCTCATCTTCACGCCCTTATTTCAATCTCACACGTTTTCTCCTCTTCCAAACTTATTCTCTCTTCCTCGATCAGTTACTTCATACGCACAATACGCAACCAGGTACCTCAAATCTTCAAGTGCATTCCTATACTCACTCTTCGCTCGCAATCCACATTCTGACATAAACATTTTTTCCAGTCAATCCATACGCAAACGTCATTCACGCTGAATACTTTGATTCCCACAGTTATATTACTCTTCAAATTAATATTTTTGGCAATGTGCAAAATTGAAAGATATCTTCACTTATTCGAATTAAAATGTGTTGAAAATTACGTAGTCAATATATGAAAATTTATCGAGAAAATGTTTAAGCGCAAGATAACAAAGAGGGTGTAGGAGATGGATATGTGAGGTAAGAAAGATATCACTCCAAATAATTCGTCTCCGCAGATGAAGTTTATTTCGTACAATTGTTTGCTCTATGCCTTCGAGTGGAGCGCTCGGTAAAAACTCTTGTGGTTCCTGATGATGGTCTGGTGTTCCTACGGTGCTTGTGGTGCGGCCTGTTGGTATCCCTTTGTCTCGTTATACTATATGATACGGGTAGCAGGTAGGACAAAAGGAAAAGTAAGGGATGCGTTTCTTCTTGGTGCTAGTGAACTCGTCAGTAAGGCATTTAACACTTAGCCGACCGCACACTCCAGAGCGAACTATACGGTTTCCACCGCGCTCGGGAAACTCGAATAAGGGGCCTTAAAAATTGGTGAATTTTATTATATGTTGTGCTTTATAGAAGCAGTTCGTCAGTAATTGCGAACAACTCCAAATGGAGGTAGTGTAAATAATAACCGAAAACGAGAAACGCGTTGCTAAACTCAAAATGAGAGATATCCCCGATCGGTCGGGCACCGACTTACTTTAAAATGGGGAGATTTCCCCGATCGGTCGGGCACTGACTTACTTTAAAATGGGAAGATCTCCACGATCAGTCGGCTAAGTGTTAACATACGTCTAATGCGCCAGAAACTAGATACAATAATATACATACAAAAAAAGAACCAAAATGTACAAAAGGGTTAGAAAAAACTTAGACTATGAGATCGATGGCTCCAGCGTGAAGCACTCACGATCTAAAATCAAACTTAATCTATCGCGTTTATCGCTATAGGATAATATAAACCTAAGAACTATCTTACATTAGAATGCGTGTTTGCTTATGTATAGAAAGGCACGAAAATTATATAGCTTTTGGTTTTAAGTGGGTAAGGTGCAGGGGGTAGACTAGATAAATAAATAAATAAATAGGAGGAGAGGGGGATGAGGGATGGATGGAATATATATGTTTTTATTTATTTCAAGATTCTAATGTACAGTATTAGTAAGTATAAGCAATCTGAAAATTACGAAAAAACAAAGCGAAAATGATTAAGTGAGAGAGATAAAAGGGGAAATAAAACGAAAATTTATCCTCTCCCCGTCGTGGATACTAATCGCAGTACTAAGGAGGATTTCGTATTGGGTTTCATTTGTTTATTGATACAGGATTGTTTACAATGTCTTTTAACAATTATATACATGTTGCTTTTAACGCGTATCGAGCCATCAATCTTTTATGTTTTTATGTTTCTAATGTTCGCCCAATGATTATGAATCGATTTGAGCATGAACAAGTCTATTCTAACTATTTCTATATGTACCACTGCGTGTTCGTACAGTTTGGGATTACTAATTAATTTCGTGAAATTTGACTCCGGAGTCCGGTATCTGCCTAGACAAGCTCTGAGGCATTTTCTTTCGAAAATCCTATTGTACTTGCCGATACGTTGAACCGTTATGGGGCAGCCATATGTCAGTATCGGTCTTACGAGTGTTTTCGCGCTATATAATTTTGAATAAAACAGACGTTTGTGATTGGCGAATGCCTTATGGGCTTTTTTGATCTGACATCCTAGCAGGCCCTGCCTTAGTCGCGAGATACTTGAGTAGCATAGGAACTTCTATTCAAGGGAAGCCGAGGATTCACCGAGGACTTGTGAGAAAGTCATAATTTGAATAATTTTTTTTTTTTTCAAATTAATCTCCTGAAGAAATTTAACATTTTATGAATCTTTGGGACACATGATACCATGAACTACGTTCATGTAGATTAAAATTATGTTTAATTTTTGTACTGCAGATGAATACAACACACCAATCGTGGCAGTCATTCGAAATGACAAGTGCAAGAAGCATGCAATAATTCAAAGAATAAACAAAATACATGCATGATAATGACACTGTGTTATTTTGAAACATGAGCAAACATGTATGAACAATTTTAAAATCTTTAACCTATTATGTTAAAGACTGCCTAAAAATGGAATCACTTAATGAGAATAACTCATTAAGTTAATATATCTTATTTACTCGCTAAGTTAATATATTATATTTATTACATTTGGCAATTTGCATATTGCATATTTCTAAAAATAATGGAATTACTTAGAATAGTCAAATTCATTAGTTCAGCTCCTACACATAAAAATATAGTAATTCGAACTTTATATACAGAATATACTTTGGATGAAGGTATTTTTGAACTCGTATTTCTGTGAGAAATCTAAGTAATTTATCGGTAATGGTTTAACAAAAATCTAATAAAAATTATAGCAGTTTATTATATTTATGTAGACTGACAGAATTTTCATTATTGAAGTGAATAGATGATAGAAGCAAAATGGTCAAAACACGATATACGTTCTGAAAAACACATATTATTGTTTCCAAAAATATAAATTATTCTTCGAAAATCATTAATTAAAAGAATTGTACAAATGGAAAATGTATATTTGCACTATTATGAACTATTATTCTGTATTATTCCCTATAATATGTAATTTGCGTATTACATTCCAGTGCAACAAGATACAGAGTTAAAATATGTGAAGCGATCGAATGAAATAAGTAAAATATTAATTAATTTATTTTTGTAGATATCCTTCGGGTGAAGAAAGATGTATTGCATGTAAATTATGCGAAGCAATTTGTCCAGCTCAAGCAATCACAATTGAAGCAGAAGAACGAGCTGATGGATCTCGTCGTACAACAAGATATGATATAGATATGACAAAATGTATATATTGTGGATTTTGCCAGGAAGCTTGCCCAGTGGACGCAATCGTGGAGGTAACGATTAATATACGTGTTTAACACAGCATAGATTATAGGTGAATTGCATTGTAAGGAACCGTTTCAAGAAGAAAATTATATTAGTCTCATTATATCAGACAGTAAATACAAGGTGGACCAAAAACCCTCTCCACCTTGAATATTTCTGTCATTCGTAGTTTTATGAAAAAGCTTGTCAGGTCAAAGTAACTTTGTTTTGAGAAGCACATATAATGGTACAACAGAATTTTTTTTAATATCATTTTATACACACGCACAGAGTACAAATTTAATTTAAAAAATTCTATACAAATTAATATTTATTATATGATTTATTTTAGGGTCCAAACTTCGAATTTTCAACAGAAACACACGAAGAATTGCTATACAATAAAGAAAAGTTATTGAATAATGGAGACAGGTGGGAATCAGAAATCGCTAGCAATATCCATGCAGATTATCTATATCGTTAAACAGATTATCTATATCGTAATAGTAAAATGTAGTAAAATATTATGACTGTAATACATTATATTATTGTGATAATATAATATATTATTATAGTAATAATAAAAATACTATAATAAAATTATTATAGTAATAATTATAAAAATATTTATTACTTATTACGTATTCTATAAATAAATAATTTACAACAGATAATTTGGTGTGAATATCTATAACAAGAAACTACACTTGACTCTTTCTTTACACGATTTTAAAATAACAGACAAAAAAGAAAACTGTCGTTGTTTCTTTACACGATACGATTTAAAAATTATCGTCAATGTGAGTAAATGAAACAAAACGAAGAGGGTTGATGAAAAGTGATCAGCTCATTTTTGAAGTATCATTAGCTCATAACATTTTCGTCAGAGTGAAGTGCATACGTCGTAATATTATGTATATTAACTGACGGCATATTTGAACATTCTTCGGTATTCTAGTCAAATTTTCGTAATGTAACTTTTCCTTTTGTAGCCATTATGGTACGGTTTTTTCAAATATATAAAAATAGTTAGAATTTAATAAAAAATATTAGAAAAGGACATTGTCAAAGGACAATGTTTGCGTATACGAATGAGACTAACAATAATTGTGATACAACGATTGCAAATACATATGTTCTCGTCACGCTTTTAGACGATTTTTTGAAGAACACGTCTTACATGGAAAAAAAGAGTTGTGTGTAATTGTAAGTTTTAAGTATTATAAATGCAGACGATACAAATGAATTCAAATTACATCAATTTCTTAGTTATGATCACCTTTAACAGAAATCGTGCTTCTGTGACAAGTTACTTTACAAACCATATTGAAGAAATATAAAATAATTTCGATATTTCAAAGTGATTTTACGTAAGTATTGGGTGTCGATTATTAATAAAAAGTAAATATAAATTATTTGGAAACGAATGTATGATATATTTTACTTTAAAAACTAATTTGAAAATAGACTAAATAAGATTACATTTAAATTTATTTGTATAAATAAAAACTTATCAATCTATTAGTAATACGAGAACACATTAAGGTGCAATAACAAGTAATTCAGTTTCTATTAAAAATTACTAATTGATATACTGAAACATGTAATATCCGTTGAAATGTTTGATATTAAATGATTGCGATTTGCAAATACCTACTGATCGTTTCATCTGAATCATATTCGACAATCTTTATGCAATCCAGAAAAATAGTCAATACAAAATTATATTTCTGTAATGAATTATCGATTTTTTATGAATAATTGTCTAATATCTTGAGATACGATTTAATTATTGAAAATTATACATTAAGAAAATATTTAATTTTAGTTATCCATTATCATTTATTTCATTTATAATTAAAATTATATAAAAATTTTAGGACAAATTTTGTGCATATCAAAACATATTAAATATAATTTTAACTGTATTAGAAGTGTAGCCCATTACAAAAACTCTTAGCAAACTAGACTTGTAGCGCAAGAAGTTAATTGATAAGTTAATGATATTGCAGTTTTTGAAATTCGGTTCAGATATTTATTACGCTACCGCTACGCTGTATGCATTTCATATATCAATTATTTTATATTATTTATATACAATTTTTATAGAGGACCAAAATTGCGTTCAAATAAATATTTTCTTATAGAACAGTGTATTTTCATGTGAAAAATTTTAGTAATCTATTTTAATATTGGAACTTAGATTTTAATATTATAACAAACTAATTAAAATGACTAATTTTATACTATTTTGACTTTATAATTATTAAAAACATGCAGTTGCTTTTGTAAAAATTAGTAGTGATATCTATTCAGTTCTGAAGTCAAATACTTATGGTCATCATATAACTTTAATTATTATGATTTATGTATGCTATAGGTAAATATTCATTACAGGTCAGTAATATCAGTGTTAACGATAATGACATACATACACCGTTCTAAAAGCAAGTAATCTTTATAAATTCCTTTAAAAAGATAAATAATAATGTGATTTTGAAATTATATAATAAATACTTTTTTAATTTAATTCTCTCAATTTGCTATTTATTGAACAATAAACTTTACAATGCTGTAAACATTATTGGCAGTGTGATAGTTGTAACAATTATCAGAAAAAAAAATAAAAAGTTTCTTTAAATTAGATAGCTTGTGCTAGAATTACATCTATTTCTAAATAAAAACATTGTGTTGTTAGAAAAATATAAATAAAAAATGAAAAAACATATTGCTCCAATTATGAGGTATAATTTTTGACTGAAAAGTGATCAGTACTTTAGTTCTTAAGTTATTTTACATGCTATTCTAATAAACGTGATTTTGTAAGAGCATATTGAGTGATAAAAAAAAGAGCCTATAGCTTCAGGAACTTATAAGTAGTCACTGAAAAGAATAAAAAATGTCTAATCAAATGTAGGATCTATAGATTCTACAATCAATCCTTTCAGCGAAAATCTAACTTTTATTATTCATTTGATATTATTATATTTTGTTATTTGATTATATATACAATATAATAGATGATAAAACTAACGTTTTAACGAAATAAGTAATCTTTGATGATATGATATCAGTTGACAATCTTGAATCGATACATTTAAACCAATTCTTCTGTTTACATATAATCTACTGCGAGGAAATTCACTTACGGTATCAAATATTCGTAAATAGCAAAAGTAACTTTTACGCCGAAAGTATTGCTTATAATATAGTAATGGTTGACATAGATTTTAATATATATATATTGGTGTCTGTAAGAAAGAATGAGTGGATCGAGTATGCGTGTATTGAATGAAGTGTGGTATAGGCTGTGTATATTTATGTAATGTATGAAAGGAAAAAGAACAAGTGAGAGAGTAGTTGGATAGGTCAGTTGCAATTCAGAATTCATTGAGATTAAACGTGTGCACGAGTATCGTAAGAAAGAGTAAAACACGATTAGATATATTTCATCGATAATTTTTACCCTATTGTTCAATAAATATTTAATATATTCATTTAAATATAATATCCGCGACTAACATACAGAACCTACGTTGATTTTGTATTCTTTTCGTTGACTACTATAAGTCCCTGAAATCTAGACCCTCTTTTTTTTTATCGCCCTGTATACTGTAACTAGCTAAAATATTTTTTGAATGTTTGCGATCTACGATCGTGTGCATGAAACCAAAGTTCTTGACGACGTATCGCGATGTTCAGTCGTTTCGTCGTGGCACCATGACTAGTGACTAATTGTAGATAACTAGTATAGCTTCTTTTATCTTCACAGAATCCGGATACCTTCTAATTGCAGGTCCGTAGTACTTTGTTAATTTTTGAATCGATGTATCCGTTAATTGATCGTGTCCTCGAAGCTTTTCCTTTCTTCAACATATCTATGTCATGTTCCCACTTTCTTTTCTATATAACTCACACGTTCACTCTTTCTGACTTTTATATTCTTGTCATATGGTTGCAAATCAAGTAGAGCTTTAAAAGTTTTGGAGTCGCTATCGCCGATATAATTAGTGTATCTAGCGTGTTAGACTAAATTCCTTTTCAGATCTAGAAAATATTTCAGTCCCAAAATCTACTTTTATTTTGTCAGATGATCCAGAATGGTTTATAATACATGATCCTTGATATGTTTCAAACTATTGCAAATATCTTGGCTCTTTTTTTTTGTTTTCTCAATATGTCAATTACTTTTCCAATATTATGTCCTATAAGACGATGAAAAGCTAAGCTTCTTTCATATCCTGTCTCTAGACACGATTAAATCCAGCAATGACTTTTTCTCTCATGAATTTTGTTGCTTTTCCTCCTTTATGGCTTGATGATATAACATACGGAAGATTGCACTTATCATTTCAGTATACATTTTGTTTAAAATGACATGTAATACAAATTATTGTTAAAATCTTAAGATATATCGATAATTTCACAGAAAAGATTTATTCCTGCTTTACGTATTCCCAATAAAGCTTATCGTAAATATCATAATTTGCTTTATTTCGAACAGTAACAACGATTTTGAATTCAAGTTTACGATATCCCTCTTTATTAAAGCTATCGTCTTCCTTACACTTTTTCCAGGTCAAATTTTGGGAAAAAGCACTGAAAGCTAATTACTTCGATAAACCGATATCCAAGATCTTCATTTATCAAAATATCATTTTCTGCTCTTTTTATCTTTATTACAGTAGAAGTCGGTCCTGCTTCAACGTGTAGTATGTGCCACTTCCAGTTTCGGTTCTGGACAAATAAATTTTCATTTTAGAAACGAGTGAAAAGAATATTCATTTTCAGCACATAATACTTCTCTGTTTTTCAGAAAAAAGGTATGAAAGAAATAAGCAAAAACTTGTGATATTAATTAAAAAATATTTATTAAACTCGTGACTGTCTAAAATAATAATATTATCAAACATTCAATTCAAAAATGGATTGAAAAGTTTAATGACTTTCCGTAAAATATTAAAATGAAATTTGTAAAAATAAAAAGCTTATCAAAGTTTCATTAATCTACGAAATGCGAGTAATAGTCACCTCCAGATTTGGGGATATTCATTCGAAAATAATTACAATCATAGAAATTGCCGTCATTACGTTTATTTAAAAAGACTTACGTAAAAAAGAACTATTAACTAAGATAATGCTAAAGAGAACATGTATTGTGGTCGTGTAATAGATACTGTCGAAAGAATCAAAAAATTTCAGCGTTATGTCATACATAATTGCAAAACTTTAAAAAAGTTTAAAAGTTATTTTCAATCGTGTTTTTCAAACTGAGCAAATCTATTAAAAACTCGATTAATTTTTATCCGATCTACTTCAAATCTTGGGTAGTGGTTTCTAATACCTTTTTCTTCGATGCATGTACGGAATTTTCAATCGCATTAGTTCTTACATAGTGTTAGAAAACTTATCATTTTTCACTCATATTTTCAAACTTTTTTCATCAAAAATTTTTCTAACAAATTTATTTTCAAATTTATACGTGCAACTGCAGCTTACAATGTCGTAGTTTAAGAAAATTTAATGATTTCGCGTATCAAAGTT